AAAAAAATTACATCTTTTTAGTAAATACTAAGTCATTAAAATAAATTTGAATTCAAGTAAATGACATGTAATTCGTTAAACCTATTAGAAATGTGCTGTAGTATAAAATCTTAAAGCGTAACAGCACTGAGACTCATTTTTCAATGAATAACTAATAACAATAATAAAACCAATAAATTCGTGATATAAATCAAAAATCGTCAAATAAATTCGTAATATATAAATTCGTGAAAAAAGCGCTTTCGACAAAATACTAAAATAGAGATCTATCGACAAAGACTACTCACTTCTGCCTAGCTTAATAATATGAGATTGCCGCAGCTGATAGGGTGAATTTCGGAAGAGATCACAATTGGTGAGAATGCTCTGTCTGGTTATTTCAGTTTCCGTTTTTAAAAGCGATATATGCTGAGCCACCTCAGCTAGATTTGGCATGTGACATTTTTAGCGGCAATCATTGGTCGATTTTCTAACGTTGCTATTCGGGGAATTTTAATGAGGCTTTTTTTTGTCGCCGTGTAAGAGAAATATATATATAGATTAATACACATTACCAGCATTAACTTAAGCATCATTGACTTCAATAATGGTTTGGCGATTTCTTATGGTTCCTCTAAAAGAATAAGTACCTTTTCTTCATTAATATTGTGGTAATAGCCGGGGTGGTTTCAGGGGAAAGGACCGTTCGCCTTCCAATGAGGTAAACCAGGTTCTAATCCCAGCGATGAATGGTCGATACGAATTCTGCGCCCAGCTCGCAAGGACCACAGTGATGACGTAAAATATCATCAGTGGTAGACGGATCATGGGTTAGAGTCCCTAAGCCATCAGGCTAACCGTAGGAGGATTTCATGCTACGCAATGTTCTCTCCATGTTACGCAAATGCGGGTTAATTCCGTCAAAAAGGCCTCTACGAAGGCAAACTTCTCTCAATATTTGATTCAAGAGCTCCCTTGTCTTCTGGATTGGTATAAAATTAAAAAGCTTTATATATATTACAAGGAGTTGAACATTAGTGGTCGTAAATCCCAAAAATTGGATCGGCTGTTCAACGACGGTTATTAAATAAAATATGTACCTATTACCTAAATTAAACAAGGAAAATTGGTGTCAATGATAGCGCAGTGAATTTTGGTTTGCGTTTCTCCTAACAAATTAGTATACCACTTTTCCATTAATTTTGCCCTTTAATTAATAACTCATTTTCTTTTCATTTTAATTATCGTTGATTTTAAATTATTTCCAAAGGCCCAGCCTTTTCTTAGACGCCATTTTTCAAACGGCCCTCGCGAACAATCTGATTGAAAATTTCAAACTACTATGAAAATCGAGGGCTAAAATTGTTCCTTACTGCTGCTACCTAAATTTCAGTTATTTTTCTTTGAACTATATAAGAGTTTTTTTCTTTTTTTAAAAAAAATTCAATTTGTTCGAAAGGCATTGCAATTTTACGAGCTTTTCTTTTCGCAATTTTTTTTTCTTGTTATATGTCATATTTTCTTTTGCCGAGTTAAAACTAAGACTTAGAACTGTGAAATTACAAAAATGTGTAGAAAAATGTACATGGAATACGACAGAATAGAAAAGATATTCATAAGTTCGATAATTATCAACTGTTAAACGTGTAGTAAAATACCAGTCCGATCAATCTGGAGTTCGCCGAAATGCAGCTACAGAATTTAAATTTCAAGTGCTGAAAGGGTTATTTTCATTTATGAACTAAATACCTACCATGTTTGTTTCAGAATTCTCATTAGTTAGAAAGTTATTGCAGCGTTTTTGGATTTTTTTTATTGTATAAAACTTTATGTATCCCCCTCGGCATCTTTGTTGAATAAGCTCGCGCTTAATTTGATCTCAAAAGTGACAAAAAATGAATAAATAAAATTAAGAAAAATAAGATAGAAAACATAAATGTTGCCAGATGTAAATCTAATCCTTTATATAAGAATTTTTAAAAAATATAACACACAAGTGATATGAAATCGTAATAATTTAAACTGTTATGTAATGAAATGTTATTGTTATATAGTATTATTAGAAAGTAAAATTACTTCATACTTATTTCTTCTTATTGTGAAACACATTCTGTATTCCCAAGTGTAAATATTTTTTTCCGAGTACAGAGTTGATTATTTACAAATCTAGGAAATTGTTCTTTTTTTTTACAAATTTTCCAAAGTAAAACTAAAATAATTATTTATTTTATTTTAAAAAAAAAGATTTTTTTCGGAAAATATCGACTTTTAAGGGGAAAAAAATTATGAATGAGTAACAACTACGGGGGTAGGTGAGTGGAGCGAGTAGGAGAGGAGCGTCTGAGTGATTGATTATAAAAATTTTAATTTAAAAGAAATATTGGTTTGAAAGGTTATCAAAAAATAACAATGAAGCTATCAAAAAATAATAAAAATCATGTAATGTTAATTTTTAACAAAAATATAATAGCGCTATTCTACATGTTTTTAAGATAAAGTTATGTTTCCCCCCCAGAAAGACTGCGGATCTTGCTGGGCATTTTCATCTACTGGATCACTTGAAGGGCAAGTTAAAGCAAAAACTGGCAAGCTGGTGTCATTAAGCGAACAAAATCTCATAGATTGCTCATCTAAAGAAGGTAATTTCGAATAATTCAATTCTCTTCATTAATTTTTTCCCATGCTCCTTTGAAGTACAGTATAGCCAAAGAAGACTCTTGCATTAGAAAAAAAAGTCAATTACTTATGTAATCTCAAATTCATTTTTGAATTTTTTACAATTTTGGTATGTGAAATGTCGTTGATTGGAGCTCAACATGGCTAAGAGCCCAGGAATCTTCACGAAGTCGAATACAAGGTTTCGACTTTGTGAAGTCGAATACAAGGTTAAGAGTTTAGTTTCTGTCGTTCTAGTCGAGACCCGCACGGTTCACAAGGTATTTGGGGAGGCTTGCATTGAGTTGGGACATGACTGAAAGACCTTCTGCCTAATAGACCTTCTGCCTAATAGAAAGACCTTCTGCCACAGGTGCAGGTAGTGCATTTGATGTGACCACTTAACAACAAGCTAATGTTGCACAAAATCAGCTTAAGTGATGGTAAGGGCACCTATTGTGCAAGAGATGCTTCGGATGGATTATCCAAAGCTGACGGTTTGACATTTTTACTTTGGAGCAGATCCCAGAAAAGAGTCATTTGATAATGACACATCAGAGCAAGCTCTTTTCTTGACCAAAAGATATCAGCAATTTCATAGACGTAGAGGCAAATGTGTGACGGTATCATCGGAAGCAGGTTCCGAAAGGCAGTTTTGGAATATTAAAGATTAAAACAAATGTTTTGGTCACCAACTTTACTCCAGTTTAGGTGCTGGGTTGCACCAGGACTATTAAATAAAATCCAGATATCCGTGGATGGAGTAACAGATTTAATTACGCGTTGGGAGCTATGGCGATTAACTCAGAACTAAAAAGAACTGAAAAATCCGGTTTTCTAATCTTAAATTTATTTAAAATATCAGGGACCTTAATGAAGATACCGCTACCAGACGAGTTTCGTTTGTGTTTACTGACATTAGTATGAATTCGAATAGCATCATCTGGGATTTGGTTTATGAACTTAAGAGCAATCTGTCGTAGGGAATCAGGTAAATCTTTAGTGCTAATTCAGGTTTAAAATGGGCACTAGGAAAGCATTCAAGGAAGTTAAAGATTGATTTCCAGGAATGTCTCGAAACGTTCTAATTCAAAAGGCCTCACTGGGGGGCTGAGGGGATAGAACGATCGCAATGACGTGAACCGGGTTCAATTCCGAGCGGTGACTGGTTTATGCAAATTTCGCACCTGGCTCGCACCGACCACAGTGCTGACTTAAAGTGTGGTAGACGGATCATGCGTTAGAGTCCTTTGCCGTCAGGCTAATTGTGGGATTTTTCGTGGCTTTCCTCTTCATGTAACGCAAATGCGGGTTAGTTCCATCAATAAGTCCTCCACGAAGGCAAACTTCTCTCAATACTTGATCAAGGAGTTCTCTTTTCTTCTGGATTGGGTTCAAAATCATAAGGCTACGAAGTTGAACATTAATAGTCGTAAACCCAAAAACCTGGGTTGGTTGTTCAACGAAGGTTATAAAATTCAAAAGGTTTATCAAGTGGTCTTTTAACATCTAACAGTATCATCATTCCTAATGAACTGTTTTTAAGGAACAGGACTCCTGATGTTGGGTAATGGTTTTCTGATAAACTCTAAAATCTGTTATTAACAAATATTTTTTTTTATCCATAAATACAATAGATTATAATGTAGGAGGATAACTTAACGAGCAACATCATTTTAATGCATGGCCGTACAACGAGATATTTGTACGAATAGAGTCAACAACTGTATTGCTGAGAACACTTCTTTTCCTTTCTACATATTTTGAAAGGTCACGAGTCACGATCATATAAGATGTTCTGAACGGTCCATGCACGAAAAGCCATTCAGAATTATTCGAAGATCAAGGGGGAAAAAAGAACGGTTTATGTCTATGAAAGCTGATTCTGTGGTGGGGAGAAAAATTTCAAGGCAGACAGGACAGGTTTTCCCCAGCACGGCCGCAGTGTAATAACTCTCGGGGAAAACCGATGTTCCTCGTCAAAACATAGTAATCCTCAAAATGCGACCCACTCGTCAGTTTTATGAAAAATCGACATAAATCGTTCTTCCCTCTCGATCTTCATCCATATTAAAGCAGGAAACTGCTGGACGAATAAATCTTACGATAGTCGAAATTTGTACTGAAAATATTGTTTTGTTAATTATAAACCAGGAAACGAGGGCTGTGATGGAGGATGGATGGAATACGCTTTTCAATATGTCATCGACAATGAAGGAATCGACACAGAAAGGGCATATCCATACGAAGCAATAGTAAGTATAAACAGTGCGCAAAATTAAAATCGGAACAACTACATGACTTTTGATCTAATGAACGGATTTGCACTTACTAGGGTGCAATTTTAACGGCTCAAGGTTCTAACCTTAACTAATTTTTTGCAAAAGATATCAGACCCGAAAACGTGCTTTCTTTGACAAAACATGGTTTCAATTTTTGACCCTCAAGACAGGAGGGGTAGCCATTATAAAATTCCCGGAAGTTGAGTTGAAAGAGCGATTAAAAGTCCTTTAAAGTTAATTTCACTTTATGAGAATTACGTTTATATGCTCCGCATTTTCCTCATAGCAAATATCCCCTTTAATTTTAGGATCAAAAATCTAAACGTGCTTTAAAAAAAAAGCGTATTTATTCAGACAAGGCACATTTTTGTGTCATATTTCGTAATTTAGTAGTAGTCGTAGTACTTTATTTACATCGTACTAGCTCCACACAATGGGTTATCGGCTACAATCTGGGAAACATCCCTGAGAATGATCCGAAGAATAAACATCACAATTTTGATCATCTGCAGAGGGGATGACTCCTCGCTTGGGTAGACCGACGACCTGTACGCAAAGTCGAGCACTTTACGATCAACCAGTTTAACGAAGACCACCGTTCCTCCACAGGCTGATCGCAGTCAGTGATGCTTGATTTTGGTGTTTGATTTGGACCCGTATCTTTACTATCAGTCCACTGTGGGATATATATCGTACCTTAAATTATCATCTCCACTATTTATTTAATACATTTCAGGTCAATCCCACGAACAATTAAGATAGCTTGTCAGTACATGGATATCCAATTACAGTCAAATCCCGCTATAGTGAAACTTCAAGGGACCGAAATTTCGGTTCACTATAACCGGGAGATCACTATATCAGTTCCGCAAACAATTTTAACTAATCTATATATTAATAGGCTAGCAATATTTTGTCTCGCTAAAAACTCCCAAACTACGCAACAGAATTAAACAAATAAGGTGTCGTTTTAAAGGTATTGTTAAGTAGATGTGCAATAAGGTCTTAAATTATGAAAATTTCCTTTAATTAATTAATAAAATTAATAATTTAGTTTCAACCAATGAGAATTCAGCAAATCATTTTTCGGGTGGTTCGCATAAGCATTGTTTCCGTAAGCATCGTTTGATTTAAAGCATTTCTGAATTAATAGATTGATAAACAAAAATAAGAGTGGATAAAAAAAACGGAACTGAATTTCTTAAAAAAAGAATTCAATATCTTTAGTTCCTTTGATAAATTTTTAGTTTCATGATAAATTTTTTGTTTCGTTACAATAGAATGGCAATGGCATCGTGCGAATATTCAAACCAAAACAAACGTGCGAATATTCAAACCAAAACAAACTTTCTACAAACAATTATTTTGATTTGAGATTTAAAACGATATCTTAGTTATTTAGTTCTATTTTTATTTATTTAGTGCCTGCTGCCTAAATAAAATGCCTGCTATCAGGCGTCGAAATATCTCTGGCAGACGTCAGAGAAATGAATGGCGGAATTCTAAACGGGAAAGCATTTCTTATTGAGATATATTCTCTGCTACAGCTCCAAATTTCTCAGCTACATGAAGAAAAGATAATCAAATTGTGAAGGGGGCAGAGAAGTGTATAAATTTCATTAAGTAATTGATTTCAATATCTGGCATTTTTATTTTAAAATTTAAATTTGTTAAAATGTTTTTATAAGATTGCGAAGCAATATGCAATGGAACTGCGAAGCAGTTCTGGGGGTTGGCGAGCGTAGCGAGCAGGGGGCGGAGCCCCCTAGTNACTAAAGTTGTGTAGATTGTCGTGGCTCTAAATTGACGAACACGCTTCTCTGATTTGCTCCAAATTACACCAGCGATGGTTTAGATTGTGATTTTGTAATGAATCATTTGCAAGTTTTCTGGATTATTCACTTTCTAATGTGTATTGCTAATCCAGATTACCTTAGGAGTGGCTTCCATACGCACAAAGATTGTTTTTCGGACTGAAACAAGTATTACATATGTATACAGAATGAAGCAACGCAAAATTTCTCATTAATGAAGAACACCAGAAGCGTTAGTTTCCAGCTGAATTTTATCACTACAACGTCCAACAAAAATGAAGATCGGAATATTGTCACGCATTTGTATTACGCATACGCTTTATAGCATATATTTTTTTAATCGGTTAATGATCAATTCATACTGAATGATTTAATAATTGAAATAAATTATTGACTAATAATTCAATATGAACGTTAATAATTCAATATCAATTGATTAAATTAATTTTAGTTACAGTTGCTAATTTTCTCACTAAATAACAACGGCCAACAAAAATTAAGGCCGGAATATTGTCAAGTTATTAATATTACGCATACGTTTCGTATATTGTATCAAAACCAAAATGTTCCATCACATACCGTTTTGGCAAGAGAAAATTCGCTAAGCTTCTGGTGAATTTTATTTTATAACCGTCGTTGAACAGCCGACCCAATTAATGTTCAACTCCGTAGCCTTATAATTTTGAACCTATCCAGAAGACAAAGAAACTCCTGGATTAGTTCCCCCGGAGTTATGATTTGCTATGGGAAAATGGAGGACTTTGTGACTCGACAGATTTAACGTGCATTAGTCACCAATTACTACACGAGGAGTCTTCGGTCGGAGGGAATCGAATACACGACGTCTTCGACATGGACCCAGTCCCCTACCAAACAGACTATACTGGCCCCCTTCTAGTGAATTACCAGATATCTTGCTCTCAGAGCCGCGATGGCTCAGGGGATAGAGCGTTCGCCTTCCAATGAGGTGAACCGGGTTCGATCCCGGCGATGGCTGGTCGAGACAAATTCCGCATCCGACTTGGTGGTCGGTAAACCACAATGCTGACGTGAAATATCTTCAGTGGTGGACGGATCATAGGTTAGAGTCCCTTTCCCTTCAGGCTAACCGCGGGAGGTTCTCGTGGTCTTCCTCTACATGTAACGCAAATGCCGGTGAGCTCCCTCAAAAAGTCCTCCACGAAGGAAAATTTCTCCCAATACTCGATTTAGGAGTTCCCTAGTCTTCTGGATTGGGTTCAAAATGACAAATCTACGGAGTTGATCATTAGTAGCCGTAAACCCATAAAATTGAGTCGGCTGTTCAACGACGGTTATAAAATGAAATATTTTGCTCTCAAATACAGCTGTTCCAATTTTTTTTGACTACGGAACTCTAAATAATCAACGTTCTTTAGGCGGAAAGCCAACTTTATAAATTAAGTTTATTAAGGTTATAACCTTTAAAAGACTATATTTAATTAGAAGGGATAATTTTCGTCGTTTAATAAACCTAGATTAGGTTTCATTTCCGATAATTACATTTACAGTCCTTGTGGTAAATATCGGCTAGTTATTAATTTGTTTTTGGTGTAAATATAATCTGAAAATAAGCCGATTCATAGCTTACTTCGCGATGAAAACTTTAAAAAAATTTGCTATTAACATTAAAAATGGTTAGTAATGAAACATATTTCTTTTTTAATGAATTCAATTATTTTATTTTGATTTGAGAAGCGCGATAGGGAGAACTTGTGCAATTTCTTATGAATGCTTATTATTGTCATAATTTGTTTAATATACTGTTATTAGGAATATGTTATATTTTCTTTTAAAAAATAACATTTCCATTTCATTGGCATTTTACTTGAAATAATTTCATACAGGCAACCGAAAGATTAAATAAAGTAATGATTGATAGGTTGTATCTAAATATTATCAGAGGTTTCAAAACTCATTACTGCTTACAAAATATACTAAGTCGCAGAAATTCTATAACTCTTCCACTAAACACTATTAGGGAACCGCTGTTCTAATGCATCTAGAAACTTCGGAAAGGTACTGAACACTTTTATCGCCAAAATCTCAAAAATGGTCGCCAAGTAGGCAAAGATCCCTCTTATCAGATCAATGTGAGATCCTTAGTTCTATATGTAAGTTATTATTATGTGCTATTGAAATATGTGAAATTGGCTAGTTAAAAAAATTTTTATTTTTTTTTTTTTTTTTTTTTNAAAAAAATTTTTTTTTTTTTTTTTTTTTTTTTGAAAAAATAGTGCTTGTTTAACGTAAAAAGAAGATATTTCATATTTTCAGCTAAAAATATTGCAAGAAACATATTTTCATTCAATGGACAGTTTTAGTGCTGTACAGCGCTATTATAAACTTATTTACTAAGAACCTCTTTTTCTTTTCTCTTTTTCAGAAGTGGCGTATTTCATGATCGTACATGCTCTAAAGATGATTTGGATCATGCAGTGTTGGTGGTCGGTTACGGTTCCAAAAATAAATCAGACTACTGGATTGTTAAAAACAGGTAACTCTAAGTTTATTTTACCCATCACAATATACATAAGTTTTAGAATTTATATGTAATACAAGATGACGCGACGTCTCTAATAAACATGTGAACGCTTTCAGAATATAGAGAGATTTAGCATTCTCACCAGCATTCCGCACGTTTTACGTACACACAAGTTCTGTAGAAAACCAAGATTACTCAGTAGAGATCAAGATTCGTACAACTACGCGCAATGCTACATGAAAGTGCTAAATCTTTTCTATTGTCAGCCCTTGCAACGCTTTGGAATCCTACTTGGTGGCATAAATTTCTTCGTTTGAAAAATTACTTTTCATGAATACTTTACTTTCTAAATTATTCAGTGATTTCTGAATTATTGAACCAGGAACTTAATTTTCCCCGTTTTGGACAGCACAATTTCATTGTTAGTTTTTTTTTAAAGCATACCCCGAATACTTTTTTTTCCTTCCTCCATCCTTCCTACAGCTGGTTGCCAGCCTTGGCTGTCTCAAACAGCTTTTACTATACCAACTGCATTATTTTCGATCGATTTACTCTTATACAGTTCACAGTCAATTCTCCATACCATCTAGTACGTAGTTCGCCTCTTTTCTTTTTTCCCTTAGGCTTACCTATAAATATGAAGAAGTTCTCTCCTCTGCTGTATTTTAATTACTGTAGCTTTGGTTAAGTTTTCTAAATATGTGTTAAATAATTCAGAATTGTATCTTACTTTCTATACGCCATTCTTCTCAACAGCCTCAAAAATTCGTGTCACAATCTTTCATTAGAATTTTCATTCAAATTAAACATTTCAAATTATCTTCTGATTTATTATCACCTTTCATGTAATAATACATTTACATCAAATTAATAACCATTTAATATTCAAAAGATTTAACACGTAAATGTACACTTTAAATTGTACAATCAATGTTATATTCTGTTTAGTTTTTAAATAAAAGGGTTTACAATGCTAAGATCTTTTGTAAATTAATTTTTTACATTTAGATATATCCAAAAGATGATTTTGTATCGAAAATATAAATAACTTTCTGAGTCGGAAAAAAACTAAAATGTATTTATAAGAAGTAATAATTTTATTAATTTTTAAACAATTTTCTAAATGCATATATAAAAATAACAAGCCAATTTTCAAATTGTTTTTCCAAACTAACATAGACACTAAGCATTTGTGTTCAATAGTTTAACAGTGAAAAGGCGTTTTTGTGTTATATCGAGTTTTTTTAACGCGTATTTCAAGCTATATTAGTTTTTTTCAATCGCCTATTTCACGCTATATCCATTTTCTTAAATGCTCATTATGAGCTATGTCAATCTTTTTTAAAATTTAGCATATATTCCTTAATATATTTAACATATATTCCTAAAATTTAATATTCCTTTCTTATTTAACTATCATGAACTCATTTTAAATTATGTCGATTATGAAGTCATTTTAAGTTATGCCCATTATGATCGCAGTTTCAGTCATATTCATTATGAACTCATTTTAAGTAACGTCCATTTCTCATCTAACCGTTATGAACTTAATTTAAATCACATCGATTCTGAACTCATTTTAAGTTATGTCCAATATGATCTCACTTTCAGTCATACTCATTATGATTTCGATTTAAATTATGTGTGTTTCTTATCTAACCATTATGAACTCATTTTAAATCACGTCTATCATGAACTCATTTAAAGTTATGCCCATTATGATCTCAGTTTTAAGTCATACTCATTATGAACTCATTTTAAGTTATGTCCATTTTTCATCCAGCTGTTATGAATTAACTTTAAATTATGTTATTTCATATTAACATCCTGAACTTATTTTGTGTCCATTTACCATTTATAATTTTTTATTTAACACTAGAAAGACGTAAAATTAGTATATATATACCTATATTGCCCAAAAGCAGTCAAAATGACTAGATTGTAAATGCGCAAATAAATTTGTTTAAAATTAATTTTTAGCATTTTCTTTATTATTTACAGTTATATAGCAAGTTATTAGTAAATATTTGCAATAAAAAATTATCTGTTGCTCAAAAAGTCGCAAAATTCTAAGAAATTGTGTCATTATATACATCATTGTTTTTCTAATTGAAATTAAAAGCAGTCAAAATGACTTCTTCAGGCAATCTAGTGTTAACCATTATGAACTTATTTAGTTCTGTTCATTTTCTTATAAACGCATTTTAAGCTATGTCTAAAATATAAAAAAAAAAAACGCTGACGTCTAGAAGTGCGAAAATCTAAATAAAAGCATTCAGATGATTATCCAATAGTTAGAAATACATAAATGTGTAGTAATAGTAAACATTTATTTTTCAGTTGGGGAAGTGATTGGGGAATGGACGGATACATTTTAATGGCGAGGAATCAACACAACCAATGTGGTATTGCAACAGATGCAGTCTATCCTATTGTCTAACAATGGCTTTTTCCATTTACAAATTCCATTTTTGGAAAAATTCTTATTAACAACTGTTACCTCAGGCTCATTTTTTCTCTCTCTTTTATGCCATATTTTTCCTACATATTGTTCTTTTTGTAATATTTTATACAAACATTAGGATCTAATAAATATGGTTTTTATCTCTTGTGTTCATTTGAAGTATTTGTCGACTGAAGAAAAAAAAATCATAAGAAATATCAATTCTATACTTTCTTTTTACGAAAGATCAATTCCATACTCTCTTTTTACGAAAGATTAATTCTATACTCTCTTTTTACGAAATATTAGTTCTATACTTTCTTTTTACGAAAGATCAATTCTATACTCTCTTTTTACGAAAGATCAATTCTATACTCTCTTTTTAAATAATTTGTAATGCCTTATTCTAATGTTCAAAATTTGCTAGTGCGTAAACATTATAGGCTCAGAACTAACATTCTAATGTAAATAATTTTAACTGTTTGAATATCAGCATTCATATTAAGTTTTAACTTTCGGTAAACTTAGAACTTTGTTATGAAATATAGTAGCCAAGTTGAAAACATAACGTACCCGAAACTACAAAATAACCGACTTGTTAGATTTTATTTTATAACCGCCGTTGAACAGCCGATCCAATTCTGAGTTTACGACTATCAAAGTAGCCCTTGTAATTTTAAACCCAACCAAGAAGACAAAAGAATTCATGGAACAAGCCTTGGGAAAATCTAGCCGTCACGGATGAATTTTTGATGGAACAAACCCGCGTCTGCGTTACACGAAGAAGAAAATTTCCCGCTGTTAGCCCGACGACGAGGGGATTTTAACCCATGAACCGTCTACAGCAGAGGATATTTTACATCAGTACTGTGATCGGTGCGAGCCGGAAACAGAATTCGTATCGACCAATTATCGTTGGAATTCGAACTTGGTTCACCTCAGTGAGAGGCGAATGCTCTATCCCCTGAACCACTGCAGCTTCGATTTAGATTTTAAATATTTCCGGATTGTAATTGAAGTGAAAAGGTAAAATTATCTAATACCTATCGGAAAAAAACTTCGGCCGCTCTTGTAAGTATTTTGTGCAAGTTAGAAGATTAGATATTTTACAAATATTTTATCTCTTTGCAAAGTTATCAATCATCCAATAATATAGAATTATTATATACGAATAATATCATTGTATTCTAACGCAATTACTAACGTCTTGGTATTTCCAACATCAAAGTTAAAAGTCTCCTATCTTTTCCCCCAACAACGATAGCAATAGCAATAAAAATAGCTATAATTAGAAAAAAAGGTGTTTTTATTTCGCTCTCAAAATGCAAGTAGAATAGATGGTAGGTTGATAAACGTTAGCTGTAATTCTTTATTCTGATAATTTTTCTTTTCTCCAACAATTAGCAGTAATAATACAAAAAGATAATAATTAAAAAATGATGCTTTTATTTTGTTTTCAAAACGCAGGTAGAATAAGGCTGATAGACGTTGGTTGTGATTCTTGATTCTGATCAGTTTCTTTTCCCCATCAACGATAGCAATAACAATAAAAATTCAAAGTAAAAAATAATATTTTTAAAAACCACGTTTTTGTAGTGGAGAATAATAATTAAAAAAAAAATTGAAAAACGAAAAACATAGGGCGCATGAAATACATAACAGTAATGTTATATTAGTGTGTGTATGTGTGCTCTTGAGAATATGTGTATGTATATCAGTAATTGTAATTGTATCTGAATGTGGATGTGGAATATGCTTTTGTATATGCATATGTATGTGGATGTATATGTGGCTGTGCATGTGTATGAGTAAGAAAATGTGTATATGTATGTGTATATGTACTGTTATGTATTTCATGCGCCCCACGTTTTTCGTTTTTCAATTTTTTTCTTAATTATTATTCTCCACTACTAAAACGTGGTTTTTAAAAATATTACTTTTTATTTTGAATTTTTTTATTTTGAATTTTTTTATTTTAAACTATGATTTTTTTAATTTTTATTTTATATTTTTAAAAAATTATTATTTTTTAATTATTATTCTTCACTACAAAAAACGTGGTTTTTAAAAATATATATTTTTATTTAGATTATTTTTCTTAGTCAAGAGTAGTCAAGACTACTACAAGACCACTACTAAAATAATAGAACTTTCATTTTAAATTAGGGATACAAAAATCTTTATAGAAAAACAATACCTTTACGACTTTCATTAGTTTTATGCTGATGACAACCAAAACAATCTGGAAATGAATGAGGAAAAACTGGATCCTACCACGTGATTTTTCAGCCAATAAAAATACTCCGACAATAAAAATCTTTTCACCTGACATGTAATACTAATTTGAAATAATGGAATCGACAACAAAAGACAATCTCGAAAATAATTTTTTTTTTAAATTTTAATTTTATTTTACTTTGTATGTCTTTTTTCTCTTCATTTTCATGCATTGTCATCCAATTCTGAACTATGTGCCAAATTTGAAGTTTGTAGCTAGTCGGGAAGTTAGTTTAAAATCAATTACAAAAATCCACCCGGACAGACATACACGAAGGCAAGTTTATATAAACGTGGTAATAATAATAATAACAATAAAAATGGTAATAATTAGAAAAAAAGACACCTTTATTTCATTCTCAAAAGGCAAGTGAAATAGATAGGTTGATAAACGTTAGCTGTGATTCTTGTTTCTAATTCAGTTTCTTTTCTCCAATAACATTTTGCTGCTTCTGGCAAAAAGAAGAGAAAGAAAAATCAGATATCATCTTTAGGTAATGAGCTGAAAATCAGAAGAAACCACGAAAAAAACATTTCAAAATAGAATCGGGAGAAAAAGGAACCACTTGTAATCCTGGAAAAGAAAAAAAAATCTTTTTAATACCATAAATGAGTAATATTAATTAGCTAAAATGAGTAATACTAATGAGTACTATTAATTAGCTTGGGCATAAATAATATTTATGCTATCCGTTGAGTAATGGTTTAAATCTGAGCCATGGAGTCAGTAGCTGAAATGATCGACTCCGGAGTCTTATGAGAGCTTGACCTCAACTTAAATTCTATTTAAAGATTCACAAAAACCCAGAAGTTATAAATTTTATTGCTAAGGAAATGTTAATTTTAAATGATATATTTCCGTTTTTATGTATGCGATTGCAACTGAAGTTTTTATTTTATTTAAAATCAGCATGTTACTTTATATTGTAACAGTCGAAGAAATAAATTTTAAAAAAACATATTGGTATAAATACTGAAATTGAACAAAACGATCTTAAGAAAAAGAGCTTGTTACCAATATCTCAAGCACATTTATAAATAATCTCATTACAAGAAGATGCCTAAGCGAGTATTCATAAACTAGGAAACTATTAAAAATCATGTATTAAATTAATTTATGAAATTCTTTAATTAACTTAATAAGTTTGTAATTAAATTTGTTTGTGAAGTTTATGAATGAAAAAAATAACTTTCAATAATTCACTTATTAACAGTGATTCTTTTAAGAGTTTTATGTGTTCTTTTTCAGTAGTAATATTAAAGATAGGCTCAAAACTGTTCAATAGATATAAATTAAATATGTGATAAGTTAAAATATAAATTATTATCATAATAATCATTTAAATTGAACAGAATGAATTGGATGGCCCACGTGATTCGAATGAGTGATGACAGTACAATACAAAAGATACTGCTTTTTAGACCCACTGGTACAAGAAAGCGGAGAAGGCCACTGTTAAGATGGCCTGACTCAGTGTAGTCTGATTTTCTTGCAATTAATGTAAAGAATTGGAGATCAAGGATAAATCGGAAGTCGAGCTAATGTTTCCGACTACAGCAAATTTTTCTCCCTGACCCTGGTATGCATGAAGTGTTAAATCCACAATTGTATATTAAACATAAGTTTTGAGCACAAAGATTTAGTCATATCTCTCATTGCTAGCACATAAAATAGTTTACTTATGAAATTATATTAGAATAAATATGAGAAGTGTGCGAGTTCGTATTTTTTTGATTGTGCAACGACAAAAAGCTGAGTTTTAAATCTATACACCTAGGTTAATATTTGACAACTTTGGTTATAAACAAGGAAACAGGCTTGAAATTGAAACTAAATCAAGTTAATACCTGCCTGAAAAATTTTTTGCTTACATTCAAGTAAAAAAATATTTAAAAAGGAGCTAATTAAAAAAAATATATTTCTGTCTTGAATCTGCTTACCTTTTTTTTTAAAGAAACGAAATGCTTCCTAATTAAGTTTTAAACATTTAACTGTACAACAAACTTAATTGGCAATACCGTTCCTAAAGAAACGCAATCTTCTTTGCTCTAGACACTATAACAAGCATCTTCATAAATAAAGTTTGAAGTAAAAAAATTAAAAAAAAAAAGGCTGCAATTAGATCCGCGGGATATCACTGAATTTATGTGGGTAATCACGAATTATTTACTTAGGAAATAGAAAAGGGGACTCAAAGTTACGCGATTTCCTCACACTCCACTCTTTTCTCCTCTTCGTTACCATGGTATCCGCAAATCTTGCTTTTCTCGCTTCTTACTGAAACTTACTGCCCAGGGGAAAAAGGAGGATTTTTCGTAGCCATCGTGAAGAAGAAGAGAAAAGTGTATTGATTGGGAAAATTGCATAAACTTGAGATGCTTAGTCTGCAGTGCAATAGAAAAATCAACGTAAGCTGCAAAACATTCAAAATCAAGTTTTTGTATATTTGGATTTTTCTTTTATATGATAAAGCTATGCATTGAAAAAAAAATCAAAGATAAATTTTCTTTTGTCAGTTTTTTAAGAGCTCATAACATTAGCAATAGGTAGAAAATTGTTGTCAAGCCAATTGTCTCGATATCGTTGTCTTTCAATTGCACAACAGTATTCTATTCATTCTACTAAAAACATTTTTTCAAAAATAACTGGGTTTTTTATGAGTTTTATGAAATTCTACTTTAGCGTTGATAACATTAACAAGAGAAAGAAAATAATTTCCAAGCCGTTTTTCTCGAAATCAAATTTTCTTTTTTCAATTGCTCGTCAGTAAAGCTGCAATCTAACCAAATAAGAAGTGATTTGCAAAATTCAAACGTTTCACATACAAACTTTTAAATTGTAATCGCAAGGCATCTGAGCATTTTTATTTAATTACTTCAATAAATTCATATCTTAATCGATAGAACATTAGGGGTATCGGGAAAAATTAGAAAATGTTGATAGTGGCCAGTTGTATCCGTATTAATAGTGGACATTTTTCCAAGAAATGAAAATTTTAATTGATAATTTCTAAAAGCTTCAAGAAACAAGAGCGAAATTAAGTAATTTTCACAATATTATAAAGTATTCATAGTAATTATTTTATTTCATAACCGTCGTTGAACAGTCGACCCAATTTTGGGTTTACGACTACTAACGTACAACTCCGTAGCCCTGTAATTTTGAACACAATCCAGAAGACAAGGGAAATTCTGGATCAAGTATTGGAAGAAATTTGTTTTCGTAGAGGGCTTTTTGATGGAACTAACCCACATTTGCGTTACAGGGAGAGGAAAACCACGAAAGTCTCCCACTGGTAGAGTGATGGCATGGGGACGGCCTGATCTGTATACCATTGATTTTCAATGAGTACCAATCATATTTCAGGTCAGCACTGTTGTCGGAGCGAGCTGGGTGTGGAATTCGTATCGACCAGCCACGCTCGCTTTCGAACCTGGTTCACTTCATTGGAAAGCGAACGCTCTATCCACGGCTCTAGCTACCACGGCTCTATAGTAATTATTCAAATAAAATAAAATGCACATAAAAAATAAAATCGACGAAAAAAGTGGCGATCGGTAAGCGACTGGCAGACAATTTTTTAATCACCACTTGTTACATTTTGTCTCCGTTATGAGGTCGTTGGTGACTGTTGATCTTGCCTTATAGTAGTCTATATGGGTAGAACATTAATTTATTTATTACCTATATATAAATTTTTATTTGAAAATTTTTATTAAGCAACATTCGAATGCAGGGTGCGTAGCGTTTTTAAAAAGTGCTTAAAGGTGCTTTTTTCGTTTTTTAATAGCCCTTAAAGGTGCTTTTCTCATTGGGTGTTTTTAAAAAGTGCTTAACTTTCCCTTTTTCAAAATGAGAATTTTCGTTTACTATGTTGATTTTCGCTTCGAACTATGCAAAAAGACACAGTTCACATTGTTTTATTCAACGTTTTCATAATTAATTCAACTCCAATCTATTTCGGCGTATAGTCTGCCCGTAGCGTATGAAAACGCCATTCGTTTTACATGATTCAAATTTTCATGATTTTTGACAATTGTCAAAAACAATGCGAAAAGGTTTTTTTTTGACATGACGGTTAAAACAAGATAAAACCGTCGATTGTCAAAAACTTTCCAACCCTGCCTAATTACGATATTTTTTAAAGTGCTTAAAAATAGTTTTTGAGTGCTTGAAAGGTGCTTATTTTTTGTTGAATAATTTGGCTTCGCACCCTGGGATGGTATAATGCTGAATATAGCTAATTATCATAAATTCTTTAATCATGTTCACGAAGATCTTTTATGCTGCTATCCCAGATAGAATAATTATAAGAAGGATCAGAGTTTGTCAAAACGAACAATAATTTTCCAAAAACTTACTGGAAAAAATTGATTGCTGGCAAATACTTCTCATGCTTTTAATAAGTCCTGATTATAGTTCACATTTGCGTAGTTATCTTATTTATAGTTGACATATTAAAATAAATGCTGTATGGACCAAGCTCTTGGGGTATGCCAGTTTCGGAAAAATAAAAAAAATATTGTTTTTTCTTAATTTGATCATTCCAAATATTTTATAATTTTTCTAAACAGGCATTTATTTTTTAGGTAAGTTCCAATAAATATAATCTTACCTCACATAAGATGTGTATCATAAAAACAAAAACTAAAGTATTATATTTTTAAAAATTTAAAGCTTTCGAAAATTGCGAAAATGTTTATTTTGTATTTTATGATAATTAAAAATAGAGATAATAAGGATACTCACTCTTATTAATTATCTCTTTAAACAGTTACAGCGGTATAGACACCTGGATAAGCCCATCCATAACCTCCATATCCTAGACTATAACCTAAACCAAGACCTGCACCATATCCACCATACTTCAATCCATAAGCAGGGCCGTATTTAAGTCCATCATGCTTCAATCCATAAACAGGACCGTATTTAAGTCCATCATACTTCATGCCATACAATGGGGCGTACTTAACACCATCATATTTCAAATCATAAGCAGGACCGTACTTGAGACCATCATACTTCAAATCATAAGCGGGACCATATTTAAGACCATCATACTTCAAACCATACAATGGGTCATACTTCACGCCATACTTCAAATCATAAACAGGGCCGTACTTGAGACCATCATACTTCAAATAAGCAGGTCCGTATTTGAGACCATCATACTTCAAGCCATACGCAGGGCCGTACTTTAGACCATCGAACTTCACATCATAATCAGGACCGTACTTCAGACCATCATACATCAAATCATAAGCAGGTCCGTATTTAAGATCATCATCATATTTAAGTCCATAAGACCCGGGTGCTTCAACTTTATCAAAATAACGAGAGCTTACTCCATCCCCATGTTTCGATTTGTGGGAAATTATTGCTTTCTGTTTGGAAACGACATCAGCTGCAGAAACAGCAACCAAGATGAAAAGAATCTAGAAAAAACGGAATAAATTATATATTTCGTTTTTTGTGAGAATAAAATTGCTTTTTAAACTCAGCTAAATAATTAAATGAAATAAAAAAAAGTGATAAATGAAGAGCTTTAACCGATTTTAATAACTTAATCTTCATAGTTCATTTTTTTTATAAAACTCCAGAGTTTATTATTTAATGAATCAAAAACTAGAATCAGTAGCAATAAAAAAGCTACTTTCAGCAGAAACTACACTAGCAGTATTTATGCTGTTAAATGTTAAGGTAAATCGATTAAAATCAAAAGAAATTATCAATGTCTACAAATATGAGAAATACTTTTCTGAGATAAGAGCCATTTAAAATTTTCCAAATCTTATTTAATCTATACGTGCATACACAATCACAATATTCGATGAATTAAGTATTTATTTCCCTTAATTGTTTTAACGTTTGATAAAGTAAAAACGCTTAACGATAGGGCAGAGAGTACGAACCTTTCGCGATTAGTGTGCCAATTAAATTACGAATTACTATTTTTAGTGACCAATGCACTACTCGTTATTTTTTTTAAACTAATCTGTAAGCTTTCAGTATTCTTTAAAACTAACCATTGAATTATATTAAGTCACTATATTTCCTGTTTAGTTCCTAACTTGCTTTAAATCTGGCGGTTTCTTACTTTTAATCGATTATATAGAATACATTGATGAAAGCAACTGTGTAAAACAATGTGCAGTTATAATTTTGTTTGGGTTTTCTCTTTACAAATCACGGTTGTCACAAACTTCTAAAACTGGTCTTCTAATAAATAGCCTATTAATGAAGAAAAAAACAATCTCCTTTTCGATATAAACTATGACATGGTTGAGGGGGATGGGGCTAGTTACCTTAGTGTCTGGAAAATGACATAGTGACACGCAAAATCGTACTTGTTTCTAAATCCGTCTTTGATAACTGTTAATATTGGAGGATTTTATTTTATCACCGTTTTTGAACAGTCACCCATCCAATTTTTGGGGTTTACGAATGCAAATATTTAACTCCGTAGCCTTGTAACTTACAATACAGAAGACAAGAGAACCTGGGAGAAACTTGCCTTCATGGAGGTCTTTTTATGGAACTTCGTATCGACCAGCCATAGCTGGGATTCGTACCCAGTTCACCTCATTGGGAGGCGGTCCCGCAGTGGTCTGATCGTTAAGACACGGTTCCCAGCAGATCACCGAAGTCAAGCATCACTGGCTGTGGTCAGTGCTCGGGTGGATGACCACTTGGATTAGTCTGCGTATGGACCGAGGGTGTGCGGTATGGGTCCTCGTTAAACTGTTCTACCGTAAAGTGCTCGACTTTGCTTGCAGGCTGTCGGGCTACCGAAGCGGGGGTGTCTTCCCTTCTGCAGAGGATCGAAATTGTGATAGGATGGGATATTGTGATAGGGGGCCTCAGGGATATTTCCCAGACCGTCGCCAATAGCCCATTGTACAGCTCTAGTGCGACGTAAATGAACTACGACTCATTGGGAGGCGAACTCTCTATCCGTTGAGCCATCACGACTCTGATATTGGAGGATTGTTCATTTCAATGTCGTTTTCAGGGAATGAAATTGAATAAAATTTCTTGGCTATGCCACGTGCCGCTTAGTGGCATACATGGCATAAGTTCGCCATCTCTGCGATAGGGTGTTAAGAAATTGAATTTTTAATTTTACACTCAGTAATGTCTACCGTTGTGTATATGAAAGCCTAATTTAATGAAAAGTTCAACTCTACTTTTTTTAAAAAAGAAAAAAGTTTAAATAAGGAAATACGATAAAATATCAAATCAAAGAATCTAACAAAGCAAATAATTAAATTAGAATGCTATCAAAATATTTGTGTGAGGCTCTTATTTAGAGATCTCTTTTTGACGTTACCACCTTATGTTATAATCAAAGTGCACTGAGGACTATGCTATCTATGATTTACTTCTAGAGTTGAAAGTTAAATTTTTAAAAAAAAGTTAATTTAGAAAAAAAAGTATCGCAAACAAATAAACCTCTTCACATCTTTCAAAGCTAACTAATTTTTGTGATATATTGAATAAATAAATTGAAAATTAATGAATATATAATGAGTATCCATAAATAATGAATATCAATAAATTGAAAAGAACGAGTTAAAGTCTTTAATTAAATGCAAACTTAAACAAAAAAACATAATTTTCTACTTGTATAAAATACCTTTATCATTCATAATTGGTGAATTTATTTTTACGCATAATTATGTCAGTTGAGATCATTTTTATCGACGTTAAATTTTATTCATGGATGCGTCTTTTCATGATGCCAACAGAAGTGGCATTTCCGCACCCACAAAATGACACTGACAAAAAATAAAATCGTTTGTGAAGAAACATGTACCTTCGATAACAATTTTGAAGTCAATGGAGGTGACCTGCAAGAACGACCAACCTCCATTATCGACCATTTTACTGTGGAACAGAGAGTGGTCACTCCCGAGAGGTTTCACTGTATTATCTTTCTAATGCTAATGCTATAAACGTCAATATAGAATGTCCAAAAAAGAGAAAGAAAAAAAAAACTGATAAAACAAAATTCTTATTAGTTATCCCTTCTTGAGTTAGTTTTGGCTCCATTTGTACATTCATCATGCATATAATAGTCTGCAGCATTGTTTTTCATAAGGTGTTCCGAGAATTTTTTTTCTTGTCAACAATGATTATATTTTTACAATCTATAATTTTTTCAATATTTGTTTCATATGGCTTAGTTGGGAAATCAATCCATGTAAATTTGACAGTTCACTGCTTCACAAGGGAACAGAAAATAGAACAACGGAACAATAAAAGTTTAACAATTTCGATGAAATGAACAATAAACATTAGAATCAATATACAGTTGAAACAATGAATTGAAAAGAACAAATTAAAGTCTTTAACTAGGAATAATTCATGTAAGTTTTTGCCTCCCAATATCATTTGGCGCATTCCTAGGAGTCTTTATTTAGTCCCCTGCACAGTAAGAGATGATTTATTCAATATTTTGGTTGTTTGTATTAAATTATTTGAGTAAAAAAACCAATGGGAAAAAAGTAGCAAAAGTTAAAAAGGATTTTTTTTTCAATTACAATTTCTTGAAAAATATATAGTATATTTATGTATTGTATTTATATTATATAAAATATATTGATATATACATTATGTAAAAAGATAATAAACTTTTTATAAAGCTGCAGTATCGTCAAAAGAAGCTCAATCATTTAAGATTCAGGACTTAAAAAAAATTGGGAACCACTAATGTATGGGTTAGATAAAATGCATTTAAGGAGAATTGCTTGCAAAATAAATACTTTATTTTGCGAAGATAAATACAAGCTTAGAGATATTGAAATATTATTACTTTGAATTAAAATATTATATTTATGTATTATTATAATTATGAAATAATATAATTATCATTTTAATTATATTGCTACCATTATTAGTATCTTTAAGAAATTTCTCATGGATTGGAGTTCAATTCTGTGAAGAATTGACAGAGATGAATGGAATTTAATATGAGAGACTGTTGAATAATGACCGAATAATAAATACCATTGAACCAAACTTTGAATTAAAATATTATAATTATGTAATATTATAATTATGAAATAGTATAATTATCATTTTCCTTATTTTGCCTCCATTATTAGTATTTTCAAGAAACTTAGGAAATTTGTCATAGATTAAATTCTTTGAGAAATTGAAAGAGATTGCGTGAAAACCGTATTTTATGAAAATACAGTCGGACTTCTATTTAACGAAATCGTTAAATCCTGATAATTAAGTTCGTTATATGGAAAATTCGTTAAGTAGGAAATCACTTTTTGAAGTACTACTTGAACAACACAAAACAGGTTTTAAATTCCTAAACACTAGACATAATTAAAATAGCAATTGATACACCTTTATCTTGTAAACTAGTATCTACTATTTATTTGATAAATCTTAACCATAAAAGAAATTTGCATGGAAAGCAAGAATGGAGAAAAAGATTATCTAGTGTTACTCTATCATACTACATACATTTTCAACGAAACAAAAAAGGAAGCTAAATTTATGTATAAAATTATAGCTGTATCTATTTTAAAAGTCATTTTAAGCATTCATTATCACATGCGTTCTTAAGTTTAATTGCTAATAAAATCCGTTAATTTTGTCTAGTTTTTCGTTTGAAATGCAAACAAAAAGCGAAAGGCTATCGCTTTCTCTAAGTTAAGTGGCTTCGAAAATTAATTCAAAGTCATTTCACCCATAAAATGCGTTAACAAGTTTGAAATATTTTGGGAACAAAGAAAAGTTCGTTAAATAGAAAATTCACTTCGCTATTCGGAAGTTATTTTAGGAAGAAATTTCCAAAATGTTCATGGATCCTCGAAAAAATTCGCAAAATGGAAGTTCGTTATATAGAAGTCATACTATATATGTAATAAGCTGTCCTTCTCAATATGATCTTTTTTACTTCGAAAGATATTACTTAACTTTAAAATTTCAATTGAGGTACAATGCTTAAGTTCAATTTATAGTTTAGAACCGTGGTTGCTCAGGGGATAGAATGCTCGCGTCCCAAAGAGGTTACCAAGGTTCGAATCAGAGCGATGGTCGGTCGATATGAATTCTGCACTCGGTTCGCACCGACCACAGTGCTGACGCAAAATATCCTCAGTGGTAGACGGATCATTGGTTAGAGTCCCGTTGCCATCAACCGTGTGAGGTTTCCGCGGTTTTTCACTACGTGAAACGCAAATTCGGGTTAGTTTCATCAAAAAGCCCTCCACGAATGTTAATTTCTCCCAATACTTGATCCGGGAGTTCCCTTGTCTTCTGGATTGGGTTCAAAATTAAACACTGGGTAGTTTAAACTCAAAATTGGGTCGGTGGTTCAACACAATAACACAATTACAAATTAAAATAAAATTCATAGCTTACATTACATATTTTAAAGAGGAAATAAAAAATACGCATGAAATTACTTACGACTGATTTCATCATTTTGCTAAGATAACTTTCTTTGCACTTCGTGAAAGCAAATGATGTAAGAAGCTTCATTCGTTCGTTTTAATTTCTAATAGTATTTATAAGCGCAGAAATTTACGGTTGAATTAAGTTGTTCTTCAAGATGAAAAATGTCTTATTTGTTTTAAAGTGAGATAACCTTCCGAGTATTTTTCCAATGCAAAGATTTTCCTCGCTTCATTAATTACTAGGAAAATGTTTAAAGATTATATCAGTTACTAAATAATGTTATAATTTACATTAATATATAAATTACTTTAAACTTGATTCATTACTTAAATACAGTATTTTCTTACATTAATTGGAAAACTTCGAATTATAATTAATACAGCCCACTATTTCCAGGAAAATGCAGACGGCTATCTCACGGTTTTTAGTGGCCATACGAAAACCCTTACCTTTCAACAGAGGGGGGGGGGGCTCTTTCCAAAGTGTCATTGCTATGAGGCTGATCAGGCCTCCCCCAACAATATTCTCTAATGCTTAGTGTTATTTCTTTTAACATGAGACACAAAACACATATTAACGCAGCGGACTGTTATTTTATTTGCACATTGAATTCACACACTTACCTCTTTCGAGGTTGGTAATACACACACTAGTTCTCGTTTCTTACACAGAGGCATACGTTTCGTTTCTTGCTCGCATACAAAACTGAACACTTAGGTTATACTATTCCAGAGATTTTAAGGGATTCGTTTTTGTTTCTATTGCTTTTTAGAGATTTTTGGTTTTATGGAGATGGTGTAGGTAAGAAACAACAACAGAAAACTTACAACTTGGTAAAAACACAGATGTATAGTAAAGAAAATAACGTATCGCTGTATAACATGTAAACATAATGGTTAAAAACCGATTCTCGTTGCGAGCAGCACTTTATTGGTTTTTTAGAAAGTAAGATGCTGTGTTTTAAAAATACAGATTTCTTTGGTTGTCGAGAGCTAAAAACTATTTTAGAGGTAAGAAACACAATTAACTCTTATTTAATGGTATTTACATGTAATATATTTTTTAATTCTTTCTTAATGGGATACCTGCAAGTGACGTAGTGTGGGTATTTCGATCCTGATTGGTTGTTGAAGCGTGGCATTTGTTTACGTCAGCAAATGTTCTTTTCTTTCTATTTCGAGTAAGTCAAGTATCAATTTTCTTAAGTGACACATTCTGTATTCTTTCACGAGGATTTCAATTCTTTCACTATATATTTCTTACTTAACACAATTTTAAGAGAAGAAATATAACTTTTTATATTTCTTACAGGTATGAAACTACGTAGAGCATAAACAAACAAATAATGCATCTGATATGATAGCGAATGAAAACGAAAATCATGAATGAAACTAGGCTGGACTTGCGTTAATCAAGTTACTCGCGAGTTTAACTAATTTAGGCACTAATCGCTACATTTAAATATTTTTTTAACTGTCACCTAATTTTTTAAAAATAATTTTAATTCTTCTCAGCTTCAACTTAATAGAAAAACAATTGAAACTTTATAGAAAAACACTCAGATTAATATAGTATAAAAAATTAAAAGCTTTCATAATTAAAAATTTCCGTATATTATTAAATAATAAATCATTAAAAATTATTTTTTGGATGAAATTATCTTTGGATAAACTAGTTTGATGAGTAGGTGCAATTATTTTTATATTACAGAATTAGTTTTAGAGATAAGACCTAAAACTCAAAAAGTGAATGTAACATTAAGAGGAATAAACTTCCAACCGTTCTCCTGATTAAACAATTAGGAACACAATTTCCAGATTGTAATTTGAGGGTCAAAAAAACCGAATTTGTAAAAAAATATTTTTATTCTGTGAAAGCTCGTTTTTGTGTCCGATTTCGTAACTTGATTAATAGTTATCCCAAATTAGTATATTTGAAGCCACCTCCATGAACCATTGAGATTGACACTACGTGAAAACCCGATCATTAGAATGAAAGTTATTCAGGGTGATATTTTTATTTTGTGCACTGTACATTAGAGAACCTTAAAAGAATTGTCAAATTTATCGTATTCATAAATTTCAGCAATATCTAGAATAGGATGAAATTACATTCAACGCGTTAAATAAAACTGTTTAATTCAAACTATTTATTAAAATTAAAGATATGCAATGGTAAAAATGAAAAACAAATCCTTAATTTTATTGACAAATTTAAAAGTACAAGGTCAATGAAAACATTGAAAATACTTGAAAACATCTCTCCTGAAACAGGAAAAACATAAAATTTCAATTATCTGATGATCGACTGGAGTCCTCATCTAGATAATAAATGAATAGAGAAAGAATTATTGTCAAAAAAATCACGCATGCTTGTACGAATTTCTCTGAAACATAGCGAATCAACCGCACTGGCCAGAATCTCCGAATGGTTGAGCCATCTACTTGATCTGTAACTGCCACTTCTTGAAAATTATCGGGATTAACATTGCCCTCACGGTGTTCATTCTCATCAGCATTCGCCACACCTTCGTCTTCATTCGCACCAGCATTGACCTCACCTTCATCTGCATTCGCACCAGCATGGACCTCACCTTCATCTGCTTTCGCATCAGCATTCGCATCAGCATGGGCCTCACCTTCACCTGCATTCGCATCAACACTGGCTTCTGATATGCTTTCTCCAGGGTTCGCAGTAGCGTCCGATTTACTTTCTGCAGGTTCAGCAGTATCCTCCGATTTGCTTTCTAAGAGATCCGGGGTCTCACCAGATTTGCTTCCTAACAGGTCAGGAAGGGCGCGTGACTTGCGTTCTTCAATGTCAGCCGTGGCGCCTGATTTGCTTTCTACAGTGTTGGCAATAGTAACAAACGCACTCTCTCCAGGATCCCCAATGGAGCCTAATTTGATTTCTCCAGAATCGGTGGTGGTAACCAATTTGTTCTCTAAAGGGTCAGTAATAGCACTCGATTTACTTCCTCCAGGGTAGACAGTTGCGTCTGATTTCTCTTCAGGGTCGGAAGTGGCGACTGATTTGCTCACACCTGGGTCATCAGAGGCGACTGATTTGTTTTCTGTAGGATCGGCATTGATACTAGATTCGCTCTCTCCAGGATCGGCAGTGGCGCCAGATTTGTTTTGTTCCAGGGTGGCCTTGATTCTTATTTTGTTTTCATCATGGTCTGCATTTTTGACCTCCTTGGGGTCAGCAGTGGCGTCTGTTTTGACCTCCTTGGGGTCAGCAGTGGCGTCTGTTTTGACCTCCTTGGGCTCAGCAGTGGCGTCTGTTTTGACCTCCTTGGGCTCAGCAGTGGCGTCTGTTTTGACCTCCTTGGGCTCAGCAGTGGCGTCTGTTTTGACCTCCTTGGGCTCAGCAGTGGCGTCTGTTTTGACCTCCTTGGGCTCAGCAGTGGCGTCTGTTTTGACCTCCTTGGGCTCAGCAGTGGCGTCTGGTTTGACCTCCTTGGGCTCAGCAGTGGCGTCTGGTTTGACCTCCTTGGGCTCAGCAGTGGCGTCTGCTTTGACCTCCTTGGGCTCAGCAGTGGCGTCTGCTTTGACCTCCTTGGGCTCAGCAGTGGCGTCTGCTTTGATCTCCTTGGGCTCAGCAGTGGCGTCTGCTTTGATCTCCTTGGGCTCAGCAGTGGCGTCTGCTTTGATCTCCTTGGGGTCAGCAGTGGCGTCTGCTTTGATCTCCTTGGGGTCAGCAGTGGCGTCTGCTTTGATCTCCTTGGGGTCAGCAGTGGCGTCTGCTTTGATCTCCTTGGGGTCAGCAGTGGCGTCTGCTTTGATCTCCTTGGGGTCAGCAGTGGCGTCTGCTTTGATCTCCTTGGGGTCAGCAGTGGCGTCTGCTTTGATCTCCTTGGGGTCAGCAGTGGCGTTTGCTTTGATCTCCTTGGGGTCAGCAGTGGCGTTTGCTTTGATCTCCTTGGGGTCAACAGTGGCGTCTGCTTTGATCTCCTTGGGGTCGGCAGTGGCGTCTGTTTTGATTTCTTTTGATTTTTTTGATTTCTTTGATCTCTTTCTTTTCACAGTAACTTTCGGTTCGCTTTCTGCAGGTTCGACATTGACGCTCGATTCTCTTTCTAAAGAACAGACAGTGACACTTGATTTACTTTCTATAGGGTCGGCAGTGGCGTCTGATTTACTCTCTCCAGGGTCAGCAGTGGCCCCCGATTTTTTTTTTCTAAGGTCGATCGTGGTGCCTGATTTGTTTCCGCCGGAGAGAGCGGTTTTGCCTGATTTGCTTTTTCCAGAGTCTGTAGAATCACCCGATTTGCTTTCTCCAGGGTTCGCAGTGTTGCCCGATTCGCTTTCTCCGAGACTAATTTCTTTTTCTGTGGTTTCTTCGGGTATCATTTCGCGTTCCGATGGGGCAAAAGTTATTTTAATTACTGGTGGCTGAGAGCTTTCTACCAGTCCCTCTGACGAATAGCTTTCTTGACCCACATCCATGCCTCTGGTATGCCAAAATGCTACAAAGAGAATCGAATTAGCACGATTTTAAAGCAGATATAAGCAATTCTAAGAAACAAAAAATTCCACAACATTCGAATTATTAAAATCCATTAATTTCACTTCAAAAAATTTTAAGTGATTTTAAGATGTATTTTTAAACAGGGAAGTTTATTTTATCCTTGGCAGTGGTCAATTTATCTTCATGACAGAAAAGCTATTTTAAATTGCTTAATATTGAAATGATTATTCATTATATATTAATTTGTCGTGGAAAATTTGTAAGTGAAATTTTTTTTCACAACAAAAATCTTTAATATTACACAAAATCTTCTTAAGGCAATAGGTCTAAGCCAAGGTCAGTATGCTATTTGAAATATATCGGGCTATTAGTCATTTGGCAAAAATTAACAGGAAAATTCGGGCCTAATATCTTTGTAGTTCGATCACGTATTGGATTGATGGAATAAATTTCATAAAAAAAAAGAGTTGGGAGTAGATTGTAACATCTTAATTAAATCAAACAGTATTATAAACTAAGCTGACGAAAAAATAGGTAAAATTACTCAAGATCTCAGGATGCGCGTTTAAATGAAGTAATATACGTTGTATAATCTAAAATTTCTTATAAAAGTGTGTTAAACCTATAATTGAAAGTTGGAACAAAGCTGGATAGACACAGGGAAGAATTCTAACTTGCTTAAAGATTACAGATTTCATGACCACGAGACTCTCTCCGACTATGAACTAATATTAGCAAGATTAGTCCTTCATGGCGGAATGCTGAGGGAATTACTGGCAGACAACAACTAAATATCAATTATAAGCCATAAAATTATTTGGATTTAAGACTCAAATTAAAGAAAATTACTACCAAGTAGAATGTTGACAAAATTTAGGATGTCAAAATGCTGAATCATTTTGTCAACGGGGTCATGGAAGTATAAAAAGCTGGCCTTCCAATTGAGAATTGATAGGGTCAACTCCTGGTGGTCGCCTGGGCTGGAATTACTTAGATTAAAGGACAGAGCACATAAGATAATATACCAGAGATGTCTGGATCAGGATATTCGAAATAATCCTCTATCCTTAAGTTCCCTGCCACAAAATCATCTTCTCAACGTTTGCGGAGATTGCAAAGTTGTGCATTTTTGCCGATAGCGGCAATCTTTCAGAAAAAAAGCTCATTAAGCTATCTGAATTGCAAACAAATCCTTTATATTTTCCGAAATTTTAATACTATGTTAAACTGGACAATATTATCAGACTCTTTAAACTTAATTACAACTTAAACGAAAACGTGGTTCAATTTAACGCAGTAGAGAAGAAAAAAAAGCACTGGGTTAAAATTTTTAATTCTTATTACGTTTTTTAAGTGCTAAAAGAAAATTTGAGTGAACTTTCAATTGAAGATTATAAATACTCTGCTTAAATTTTAGTTAACTCATATGGCGAGAATTGGAGTTTGACGTACAAGACCGATAATGTACAGAACGAAATATATATGATACATGAAGAGAAAAATTTATTTCATTTGTAGATTTTATTGCGAACTGCTGGCTTATACCAAATGCAATGACAAGCCTTAAGTGTAAAAGGTAGAAAACCTAATCAAATAGCTAATTTTCACTAAATTTTGAGTTGAATTATAAATAGCACTTTAAACCTTAAACAACGCGAATCACTCACTGTGTTGATTCTTGTTTTAAAAACTATCATACAAAGTCTAATATTTAATTTTTTTCATTTGCCCGAGAAAACCAGAGATAGTGTTAAATATTTTCAAAATATGATTTGTAAATTAAATGTTTTTTTTTTACACATACAAAGCTTTTTTAATTTCAGCATAAAACTTGTGTATCACGTCTTCTTTTAGTTCCTTGTATTTATTAATGAAATAAAAATAAGTTGATTTTTTGCATTCTTCAAAAAAACTGATTAGAGAAGCGGTAAGAAACAAAAGTAACTTTTACAAACGTTGCCGCCGGTAAAATGTTGAAAATTTTCAAATTAAGTTGTAAAAGATCACATTTTAAAATTACTAAATTTTTGTAAAAATTTAATGAAACTCATTAATAAAGTCATTTTTTTAAAAACTAAATCAATATAAAAGTGCAAACTTAAATTTTTCAAACTTCTCAATTTAAACCATTTGCTTGTAACAATTTAACTTTTTGGTATGCGTTATAGACACTGATTTTAAAACCATTGTCTGGAATCTTTAGTATAAAAAACGCTAATGCCGATACACTCCCAAAGATCGATAAATGAAATAAAATATTTTTAGTGATCAGCAAAAACAAACTTGCATTAGTTTTACAAAGTATTTCTAAATATCTAATGTTTCCTACACTAATATGTCTAGTTATGAATTTTAAAATCATATTAAGAAGATATAACAAACATTCTACAATCAAAAATTTTTAAATTTACAACATTGTAGAAAACAGTAAACAAATGCTCATTAGATTTATTTCGTTTATTTTTATTATGATTTCAGGAATACAAAATAATTTTTAATGTTTTAATGGTGACACTAGAATCAAGAGGTTATATATCTTTATAAACTTTATTAGAAATAAATTTTCATAATCTATATTAAATTTAATAAACTAAAGATTCAAATAAACTCACTAGCAAAATCAAACAAAACAACTTGTGTCGTTTCAATATTATAGAGAAGAAAATTTCGTTATTAATTTTTTTATTAAAACTTACATTGACATCTTACTTTTAAACTTCGCTAAATAAAGTAAAATTCATGAAACTTTACAAAAAGTTCGTAAAAATTCCTCAAAATCATAGTTTATTTTATTTTTAGAAATTCTTTCATTCAACTATAATAAAAAATACCAAAACTATGTTAATCATATTTGACAAGTTTTGAGTTTGAATTTAGTTTGTCTTAAAATTTAAGATTTTGAAATAAATTCATTAAAACTCTTGACATACTGCTGCAACACGATTTTAAATATTTAAAATATTTTTTGTTTACAAATTACAAGCATTTACATAGTTTATTTTTCAACCATATATATATATTAATAATTATACATAGCAGTTTGGAAATTAATTTTTGAAACGGTAATTTCGATTAAATAAATTTTTTTCTAAACTTTCATCAAACTACTAATTAATTATTTCTAAATAACATGAATTAAAATCAGTTTTATTTAATCCTGATCTCAATAAAATTAATTAACTAAAAATATTATCACTTACTTACCTAAAGAAAGTCTAGCAGCAGACCTGAAGTTACAGTAAAAGTACCGAAAAAGTCCGGTACGCCCTTTATATATACATTTATTTCACTTCAGTTCTAGTTCTTTCTTACTCGAAAATAGAGACATTTTAGGAGTTTGGAGTAGCCGAGAGACTGAGATCATGATGTATGACACAAAAGGTCGTAGGTTCGTGGGTCAGAGTTATCGAAGAATCATATTCATTACAAATTGCATAGTAAGGCATTCCGCAGACTGTATCAAAAAAGGGTGCAGGTTCGTACCCCGAATTCAGCAGAGCTTCAAAGCTCTTAATTGTAGCCTTATAACTTACTGTTTGCGTTGAAAAATATGGGTTTGAATTCTGTTTAATATCGAACTCTCTATTTTCATTTGTAATTACAATATTTTAGGTTTAACGCGCGAAACATTGTAAGTAAGTAAGTACTTTATTTACGATGCACTAGAGCTGCACAATGGGCTATTGGCGACGGTCTGGGAAACATCCTTGAGGATGAACCGAAGACATGCCATAGCAATTTCGATCCTCTGCAGAAGGGATGGCTCCCATGCTTTAGTAGCCAAAGGACCTAAGCGCGAAGTCGAGAACTTTGCGGTACAACAGTTTAACGACGACCGGTACCGCGCATCCTCGGTCCCTACGCAGGTTGATCAAAGCCGTCACCCACACGCTTACTGACCGCAGCCAGTGATACTTGACTATGGTGTTCTACTGAGAACTGCGTATTTACGATTAGTCCACTGCGGGACCTAGGACCGTTAAGATTAAGTCTAAGTTAAAATCCGATCACTAGATCAAAAGTTATTTAGGTGTTCTGTTTTTGATTTGCGCACTGTACGTGTGACTCAGAAATTGTTTTGATTTCCAATTGGCTACTAAATTTGAAGTCTTCGAAGATGAGCACCAATGCCACACAATTATTGAATAAATTGGCAGTTCTGTATTTAATTATGTATAGGGCAAAATTAACATATAAAAAAATATTTAGGTTTTCACAGGGTGTCCAAAAAGGAGTGGAACCAGTCAAGTCCTGCTAAAATACAGAATCTTAAAATACAATATCATTTAGTGTTAAATATTTTTCTAATCGGCATTCAATGATATCAAACTCGATTCCCACTTAACCCTTTGTTGTGAGGCTTATTGTAGATCTGTATTCTTCCTAAAAGAGAAAAAATAATAAATAAATAAGTAAAAATAAAATAATAATAGGCAATTAGAACTTTTATTCACAGGCTTTTGCATTTTGGTTTTCTGATGGCGTCGTCATTGCAAAATAAAAATGTGGTACAAAGTGTTTAAGAAAGAGATAGCTCAAAAAATTTATGTCAGAAAATATAATAGTGCACCAGCTAAAAAATAAATACGCTTTATATATTGAAAAACTTATCTTGGGACACCAAACTTGATTCCCTATGAGTTTCATTCAATCTCAGGTTGTGGGGTAGGTGGCCGAGTTAGGAATCATTGCATCTTTTTGAAAATATTTGACGCATGTAACGTTAGGTTTTTATTACGATGCGTTCGTTATTCTCGAGATAATTGCCCCTTTTCAAACTTTTTTGACACCCTGGATAGTGCGTGACAATGTTCCCAGCACATCATGGAATGAAAAAAAGAAAAATCACTCTTATATCTATTTTTATTGCACAAACGCTGCTTCCTAGTTCCGGTAATCCATTATGCATTCACTTTCGAAAAATCTAGATGTATGCAATTCTTAATACTGTTATTCTTCCGCAAATATTTTTCAACTCTATTCTCTGAAAATGTTGTGTTTACACTACACATTCTTTGCACCATAACTAAAAAAAAAAAAAAAAAAAAAGCAAAGCCAGTATTTTTCTCAATCTTTCTTTCACAGGTAGTTAGCATTTTTGCCCAAACTCACATCGGAACACAGCGGATATTAAAACATATGAAACATGATACAAATAAAATATATTTATTAAAAGATATAAACATAGTTTCAAAATAAATATATTTTATCATAGATATTTTATTGTTACATATATTTTATTACAACTGGTAGATGTAAGTAAATATATATTTTATTTATAACAACCAGTACGGCCCATTAGCTCAGTTTGTTAGAGCATCATACTAAATTCGTAAAGGTGGTGGGTCTGATCGCTCTCATGGGTATTTGACAGTATTTGTTATTGTCCGCCTCTCAATAAGGTGACCCAGTTTCGAATCCCATTGGTGGCAGGTTGATGCGAATTATGCTCCCGCCGACCATAGTTACTGATTCATTAATGCAATAATTTTTTTCTTCTTCTTCTTAGGCACTACAGCCGGTTACCGGCAAAAACCGTCTCAGTCAGGTTACCCCATCTAGATTTATTCGATGCTGTATTTCTCCATCTAATAATTCCGAAGTCATTTAACCATTTCTCTACCATATCTAATCATCTTGTTGTAGATTTTCCTCTTTTTCTTTTTCCCTTTGGTGTCGTGAAGGTAATTTCTTAACTGGATTTTCAGGATCAACGAAGGTGTTTCCACTTTATCGTGGACTATCCTGAGAGATATGACGGTCGGAGCTCCTGATTGGGATACGCAAGCCAGACGCGTCAAACACCCTAAAGGCTCGGGGTTGGGTGTGAGGTTAACAACCTCACCCCGTAAAAAAACTAATGTTCTGAAATCTCAAGAAGAAAAGGCCAGATGCAATATTTTACTACTGACCTAAATAATTACTATCAATATAGATTATTTTAGATTTGCAGATTTATATAAGTTCATTTTCTCTGTAGTTATCACACGCAATGAAATACATCTGACCTCAAATTGAAGTTTATGATCAGTATGAAATTTACGAAGATGAGAAAATATTGTGAAAGGTGGGTAATTGTTTTGAAGACTTAAAAAAATATGAAATAAAAATAAAATAAGCATTTCTCATGGTTTTACACGTAACGGTTGAAAATGTAATAATATTGTTTGTAATTTAAGTATTAAGTTGATATAGTCTCAGTGAACTTTCTAGATATTAGGTTCATTTTCTTTGAAGTCTTACCTTAAAAAGTGTAGCAAGAATTTCTTCTGAAATTTTTAAAGATATTCTTGTAACATATTTCAAGATAAAGTTTCCGTAAAAGGAACACAACTGAAACGGAACACAACGGAAAATTAACTGAGACTAAATTCTTATTGTCACAAAAATTTTATTTCTTATTTCTGGCCGTCTAATGCTGTCACCGTATAAATGTACAACAAAAAGAATTTTTATGACCAGGCCATCTGAGAGTAAACCAAGAGGAAGACCCGAACTCAGATGGTTCGATTCCGTCGATAAGGACTTCCTCATACTGAACTGTAAAAACTGGAGAGCCTTTGCTGATAACAAATTCAGGATGGAAGAGAATCCTCGAGAAGGCCATGGCTCTCCCTGATCTGTCGCGCTAATGATGATGATCACTATCATTTTTTCGAGTATGATCACTATCACTTTTTCGAGTATAAACACAGAAAAGATGCTTTGTTTTTTTTTAATGTTTTTAAAATTATTTTATTAAATAATCAATTACTTACAACAATGTATGAATGACGAATTTTCGTCAAACGGTTAAAAGTGAACTTTATCAAATAATCAGAAGTAATCAATATATATTTCTGACAGCAATATTTATTAAAATTGCAATAAAAAAAGTTTATAAATTTTTTTTCAAAAATTTATTAAAAAAATAACAATTTTAAACAAAATATCAAATTAGAGATTTAGCATTCGACTTCAATTTTTGAACTCCCCCCCCCCTTTGTTTTTGAAACTTGTTTTTTAAAAGCTCCCTACTTAAAAAAAATTTATAATAATTCCTATTAAAAATTATAAACTGTGTTTTATGATTTCCGTTAACATTACATAACTTTTTTAAAAAAAATTAAATTACATTAAGATAAAAAAAGTAGTTCGCCATATCATTTGAAGAAATAAATAAATAAAAAGAACCCTTCAGAAAATTATTAAGATGAAATAAAAAAACAGTCTGCTATGCCGCGAAATTCACGGTTGCATAAATCTGTTCCAAAGAATTTCATCAGATAAATAAAACAATAAAATAAAAATTTCTGATTATAATATTCATCGAAACACGTTTAATCCCTTTAATAAGAATAAACACAGAAGTTTTTTCGCTCTGCTGGTGACGCGTCACATTTTCTTGTTAACTTCATTAATATTAGAACTTCAACGGTGTTAATTAACCGTTTGAATTAAATGGCAATTCATAATGTAACAGTTAATTTAGAACAGTTATAATTTAAAATTGTTTCCGAAATAGAATGTCGTTGATAAAAGGGTGTTACAAATTATTCGACGAAATATGATATCGATTTATTTCGAATCATAAACTTAGATATTTGAATATCAGATTTAAATTTAAGCGGGAGATGTATCGATTCAAGTAGTTGATTCGATTGATATAATATTTTATTCATTTTTTCAATGTTTCAAACCAGTTGATTCTCTTAAATAACTTTATATATTATCTAACACCTTTATCCATTTTCACATTGATTCGAATCAACCAAGCCGATTAAAATAATACGTTGATTCGTTTAACTATTGATAATATTTTTGATTTGAATAATTAAACTCAGTTTTTTTTATTAATTGTTTTAGTCAAGTCCCATATAGTAACCCGTTTCTCTTTATTCTTATTAATGGCATTCAGGCAATTTTTTTACAGGATTTCTTTTTTAAACGTGTCATTAATGCAAAAATTGGTTTGTCGAAAAATACTACGAAATTCTGAAAAATTTTACAGAAATACGTAGGATTGTTAACTTTATTGTATACTTTATTTTACTGCAGTTTTTTTTATTTTTTTAAAACTGTCATTTTTAAAAAAATTAGTATGTGAAAAAATTCTACTTATTTCTGAAAATATTTATGAATGCAATTAAAAGATTTTTTTTACTTCAAAACTATTATGTAAATTAAAACGAATTTTTTTACAGAAATACGTCGGATTACTTTATTGTATGCTTTATTTTACTGTCAATTATTTTTTAAAGCTGTCATTTTTGCTTTTGTTAAAAAGCCCTACGTACCTTTTTTTATTTCAAAACTATAATGTATATTATAACTACATTTTTTTCAG